AAACAGTTAACACCTTCTGTGACTAGTTTATTTAAACAATTCACCAACATTAAAATTGTCCAATATAATTTATTAGAAAACCGACAACTGTTTTCTAAAGTAAAAGACAAGACACCAACTGTAAATAAAAATAATGTCATCTACAAACTGCCTTGTTTGGATTGCCAGAGCTGTTATGTTGGCCACACTTCTCAATGACTTAAACAAAGAGTCACACAGCAGAAAAGTGACTGCACAAAAAAGAAGAATACATGTGCGGCAGTTGACCATTACTTAAAAACTGGGCATCAAATTTGACTACACAAATGACAGGGTTCTACAGCAAGAAAATAATTATAAAAAAAAGATTGTTTTTAGAAATGTGTCATATTAATAGAGAATAAATATGCAGTACATTACAAGGCAGACACGGACAGTAAAGTTGAGCAATATCTACTGCAATATTCTTAGTATGTTCAAATAATTTTTCTATTTACAATTATATTTTTAAATCACCCTGTATATTTTTAATGTGTAATTTTAATTGTGTTTTAATTGTTTCTTGGTTGTTTTTTTTTGCTCTTTTTAAATTAATTACTAGTGACCTAGGTGCTTTTTAACCAATATTTGTTAGTTACTGTTTTTGAACATATTATGTACACACATTTTTTAAATATTTTTAACTCTAAATCTGTGAGTAATTAATTGTTTGTTCTTACCTGATATTTATATAAAATTTTAACTATATTTTAGTTGTCTCCTGATGAAGCTGACAAGAAATCAGCGAAATATAGAGAAATAAAAGAAAAAAGAGTTTTTTTTTTAAATAACAGACCGCATAACCCGTTACACACCACTAGAATAAATTTTTATTTACGTTTCGGTCGATAATCCTCCCAGTTTTGCTATATATATATACTATATATATATATATAAATATATATAATATATAATATATATATATTTTATACATGAAAAATTATTGGCAAAATTCGAAATGTGAATACAAAAGAAAATAAATTTTCCTATTGCATTCACGTTGCTAAAATGCTAAAAAATTAGTATATTAGGGTGGTCTGAATTAGCAATCCTCATGCAAAAAACGTAAAATTGTCATTTTTAAATAGACATTGTGAAAATATACAAAATATTACGAAAATTAAAGTTCACCTTTAAATAAAAACTTAAACACTCGGTATCTACCTCGGAAACTAGCAATATTTGTGTAAGCCATGTTGGGCAGAATCATAATATTTTGAGTTTTAGAGCGTACAACTCTAGAGCGAGATTGGACATTCTTGATGAATCAGCCTGTATATATATAATATATATATATATATATATATATATATAAATATATATATATATATAATATAAGCCATCATATTCCTAGTAGTGTTTATACTTTCTTTGGACATTTGGAAATTGTAGTTTGAGTTTTTGCAATGTTTCTGTATATTTTTATAACTGTTTTACAACTCAAGATAAATGAAACTTGTATGCTGAATAATCGCAACCTTGAATCAATATGAAGATCAATTCCTGCAATTTCAAATTTCATTTACATATATAAATGTTAATTTGTTATGATAACAAGAATACTGAGCATTCTATCGTACCTGTCAGCGGCTTCGGATTGAACCGGAAAACAATGTGCTAGTCAAGTGTACAGGGCCCCATTTTGAAAATTGGTTAGGCTCGAGGCGCAGCGTGGGGCTCCCCATAGGGCGAATGTGGTAAATATTCGTAGTTGTCTTCGTATGTAATTAAATTAACAAAGCATTACATAAAATATTTTATGCTTTAAAACGTAGTTTTGTAGTCCCCCTTTTTTCAATATTTTTCTCAATCTCAATTAGATGATGTTATAAGCACGAATTAACCACAAATCAGACATGGAAAGTTAAGGGCAGTCGAATGATATGGGGAAATACTAAATGAATAAAATATGATTTTGAACCTTCAAGATCACAAAATTATTGAGGTAGTTAAAAAATAAACCAACAAAACTTGGAATATAACGACACCGATTAGACCAATCAATTATAAGTTAATCTCCTATATCTATTATCCTTCGTGCGGATGTACCTACTGCATTTATGCCATTCGATTGAGTATTGCTATTCATGCCTCTGGCCCTTGTGCATTTCATTAAGCTTCCAAGAATGAATTACTATTTAACTGGGAATAAGCCACAATTAAAGGTTAAAATACTTTATTGACGTTTCAAATTTCCACTTCGAAATCGTTCTTTGTATTTTGAGAACGATTTCCGAAGTGGAAATTGAAACGTCAATAAATGTATTTTAACCTTTAATTGTGGCTTATTCCCAGTTAAATAGTAATTAATTTAAAATGCCACAAGAAAATAGTTTTAGAACAATTCCAAGATAAGTTGCCATTCCTGTTCTTTATTTTGTCTAACCACTGCTATGGAGATCTTGATATTTTAGAAGCTACATCATCTTTAACTATTATTCTTTCCATACTTACTCTTTTTCTAATAACGTGTCTAGAACATCTCAGTGTTCTTTGGTTGCTAGTTGTAACGTATATATTGGTAATGCTGAGTTCTAATAGTATTGAATTATTTATGTGTAATGTCTATGCCAAGTGCAATATTCTACGGTAAACCCACATTTCGAAAGGCATTATGCATTTAGATTCTAATTTTTTAATTGTCTCGTGTGAGCAGCTTAAGTGACATGGGTGGAATGCATAAAACGTAGTATCTGCTAATGCTTCAAATAATTCTACATTTTTGTAGTACTTGCTACACTTACAAAGCATTTTGCTTTCCTCCGTAGTATTTACTATTATTTACCAGATACATAGGGTGGAATGTATAAAAAGTAGTAGATGCTATTGCTTCAGCAAATAGTATCTGGTTTGTAGCATTTACTTTTACATAAAAGGAGGTGCTTTTTAAAACGAGCGTACTACACAACCGAAGTACTTGCTACTGACCTGAAGGTTCTACTACTAAACGTAACGCCAGCCGTAGTGCCCTTGTGCGCATCACACCAATCGTATTAGAACTAGTTTTTCATGTGATTTTTCAACTTTTTATAAAGATTTTATATTACTACCTAAATAAATATACATATGCGGTAAGCTTAAATAAGGCTTACCCGCCCCCTACTCTCCTACTTTCCCATTTAAAAAATCAAAGTTATGACTCTCACCTGAAGAAAGATTGCTTAGAGTTCGAAACATTGATGCTATAATATACTATGATTATTTTAAAAATCGACCTCTTCAAGTGTTTTGCTTATATACTAAAAATAAATGAGTTTAATATGTGGGTTACACTTATTTCAGCGCACTCTATATGAATAAAACTGCACGATTCATGATAATTACCTGAATATTTTACGATAAATATCGTCATTGTATATTCTTCCAGGTTTGTAGATTTTTTCTACGACGAACATTCATAAATGCTGCCATTTAACTAACATAACAAAAAACACCTAAAGCCGAAGTTGTTTATCTACCAACTTCACCTAAACTGAAGCAAATTCTACTAAACTAGCAAATACTTCAAAAGCGTAGTACATCCTTCTATGTATCTGGTAAATAGTAGTAAATACTACGAGGAAAGTAAAATGCTTTGTAAGTGTCAGCAAGTACTACAAAAATGTAGAATTACTTGAAGCATTAGCAGATACTACGTTTTATGCATTCCACCCATAGAAGGATGTACTACGCTTTTGAAGTATTTGCTAGTTTAGTAGAATTTGCTTCAGTTTAGGTGAAGTTGTTGATAAACAACTTCGGCTTAGGTGTTTTTGTTATGTTTGTTAAATGGCAGCATTTATGAATGTTCGTCGTAGAAAAATCTACAAACCAGGAAGAATATACAATGACGATATTTATCGTGAAATATTCAGGTAATTATCATGAATCGTGCAGTTTTATTCATACAGTGCGCTGAAATAAGTGTAACCCCCCATATTAACTCATTTATTTTTAGTATATAAGCAAAACACTCGAAGAGATCGATTTTTAAAATAATCATAGTATATTCTAGCATCAATGTTTCGAACTTTAAGCAATCTTTCTTCAGGTGACAGTCATAACTTTGATTTTTTAAATGGGAAAGTAGGAGAGTAGGGGGCAGGTAAGACTTATTTTAGCTTACTGCATATGTATACATATTTAGGTATTAATATAAAATCTTTATAAAAGGTTGAAAAATCACATGAAAAACTAGTTCTAATACGATTGGTGTGATGCGCACAAGGGCACTATGGTTGGCGTTACGTTTAGTAGTAAAACCTTCAGGTCAGTAGCAAGTACTTCGGTTGTGTAGTACGGTCTTTTCAACAAAGCACCTCCTTTTATGTAAAAGTAAATGCTACAAACCAGATACTATTTGCTGAAGCAATAGCATCTACTACTTTTTATGCATTCCACCCAATGTGTAAAGCTAATGCTCAGAAAAGAGTAGCTTTGTGATTTTAATGTTAGATGTCTTTCTATATTTTGATGAGTTTTGCAGTAACTGGTCTGACAATTAGGAGGCAATTACTTTATTTTCACACCCTTCACTATTGGTGATGACAGACCCAAGTAATAAAATTGTCTAACCACTTCATATACTGCCACATTTCTCATTTAAAATATAGACTTCTCTTTAAAGTGCAATTCAATAATGGCACTAATACCAAAACAAATAAAGTTTAAACGTATTACAAATAATTTTTGTTGTGTGGAACACAACAGATAAAAGATAAAATGAAAAGAGATAAAATGAAAATAATTATGGGAAAGAAATAAAGTGCAAATGAAGTAGGAAACATAGCGGTATACATATTTACAAGACGACTAAAATGTTGGGAAACCGCATGAACACCAGAGACTGACTGGATAGATGATTTTCATTTCATAAAAGGGACTAATATTATACTATATTATAGCAGTTTACACGGTCCAGTACGTTGGAAGGCTGGTAATGATAATGATGTTGACGATAATATAGTAAATTGTATTCGAAACAAATGATAATTATTTCTTACCTGTACACTCCATAATGTTTTCCACTAGCCCTATCACCACATATTGAACAAAGATGCTTCGACCCGCTAAGAGGGTGGTTAGGTGGGTAAGGGGAATTCGCTTTTTGCGATCCAGCCGATGGACTCAGCAAATTTGCATGACCTAAAGAAAAAGATCCAGGACTGTTCGGTCCTTGAGGACTGAATTGGTTTAAAGTAGAGGCGTCCGGTTTGATTTCCAATGGTGATTGGGGACCTAATGCTCCCATTGAAAGGTTCTGATCAAGACTGAGACCTGGAACAATAAAAAAGAATTATAAAGGTTTTTTTTCTTTGAATTTTAATACAATATGGAATATATAGGTCGTATATATAAGACTAAAATGATTTGCTACCGTTTATTTCGGTAAAATATTTGAAAATAATAAATAAATAATTATGATTTACTATTGAATCCCTCCTAGAATTATGTAAGTTTTTGCCATGTTTTTAAATCTCGTTATAAAGCAATGCAGGCTTCTACAACAGATACTTTGTAATGATATACTGTTTTTTGGACTAAGCAATACTTTTTATTTAAAAAATCTTTTATAAAAGGTAAATTGATATAAAAACCCGCTGGTGCTACATCACAGAACGTTTTCAGAATGACTATTCTCTCATTAGTGCTATCAAGATTTACATGTTTGAAGCCACTAAATACATGAACCCTTTAAATATAGTTAAATTAATTTTTGATGATAAAAAACTAGGATGGTAACATTATAAACGGAATTAACTTTTTGGCTAGGAATCCACGTCGGTTGACACGAAGTGTCGCTGAGGACTTGTTTTGATAGCGACTGTTGTTGATTATTATTTTATTTTATCATATATAAAATGATTTTATCTATTATTCATTACATTAAGAAGGTTTAAGCTTTATATTAGGTTTCCACTTTTTTTAAAATCGATTTTTGCTATTTTTTGCGATTCTCAAGAGATCAATAAAATTTACCACTTTCATTAACCAGTTACTATGGCATTTTGATTTTTAGAGTATAATCTTCGAACCTACAGCATGAAATCTCGGTTTTGAGTTTTGGCAACAAATGTGAGGTATTTGAAATATGCCTAAAAAACGCTGAATTTAAACTGTCACATTACAAACTTTACTCTTGATCTAAAACATTTAAAACTGCTCCTTTTTTATGACACAAGTATATTTTTCAAAACTACACACCTATAGCTCGAAGCTCCACTTAATAAGGTCTTCGTCGAGGCATTTTCCGTTAAATTTTCCATTTAAAGATTAGGCTCTAAAAATAAAAATTCCACTAAAACTGACTTCACTTGCGGCAAGATAAAAGAATAGTTACAAAAGCTTTACTCTTTACCTTTAAAACGAATTTTGACTTTTATCGATAGGACACTTTGACCAAAAGATATCGAATTTTTACCGTTGACTTGCTATAAATTTTATTTAAAACTGATTTGGCGAGCGTAACTGAAATTCAACAGCGCCGGTCGCTTCAAGCGTTGTTTCTGAGAAAAAGGTTGATTTTACACAAAAAGTACATGCATTTTTAACTTTTATTGAAATCATTCAAAATACAAAAATACAATAAACGTTGGTGGTCTCCAATAAACGCCGTACGCCGCGTATAGCATTCACCAGTCGCGTCTGTATGCTTTATATAATAAATCATGGATGTATCACATTTTCTTATTATACGTTGAACGCAGCTTGTAACTACTGTACAAGTATGCAGACACGATGTATGACGTAACGTACGGCGTTTTTTGGAGACCACCGCCTTACCGTTTTTTTTTGCAATACCGGTATAAACCGGTCCGGCGTACTGCAGCCAATTAGTCTATTGTACATTTTGTATGTTCTGTGAAGCGTATGTGTTGTCGTTACTAAGTATATCCGACTGCATTGTCTTTACAAAAATTAACTTATAACCTAAGGACTGTGGTACGTCGGGTGAGTATCGATCCGAAAGAAAGAGAGAAAGATTTTTGTTAAATAAAAACTCTCATTTTGACTGAGATTCGAACTCGCCAAAAATTTAAAAACCAAAAGGTATTTCACAAGTCGTCTCTCGAAAAATAATTTGTATTGTATATAATTTATTTGTCTATATATGGTTCCTCTACATCTACACTTCTTCTTCTTCTTACGGTGCCTATCCGTTCCGGATGTTGGCGATCAACATGGCTATCCTAACTTTGCTTGCTGCTATTCTGAATAGACCGGTTGTCGATGTATTAAACCACTTTCTCAGGTTTTGAAGCCAAGATATTCTTCTTACACTTATTCGTTCGGAACTGATGTTTAACAGTAGTCCTCGTAAATATATTTTTTAAACTATAAGTACACTTTTAAATCGTTACTTGTAATTCAACCTTAAAACAGTTTCATGATTCCATTTAGCTGTAATTTAGAGCTGTAAGTTTTTATTTTTTTGAGTATTTTTTCGACATTTTTTGCAAACTTTTCCTCCTATTATCCTATTCTTACCAGAAATTAGTTTTAGAAGACCCGGGATTTTACCTTTTTTCCAAGATACTTCCTGTTTCCCCATAACGCTTAGTTATATTCCTCACTGTAGTTTTAGGAATATAAAGTTTATCCGCCACTTCACAGATTGTTTTATGCGGCAATAATTTTTAATCACTAATAAAGCTTTGACAACAAATTAACTGTAGAATGTAGTGACATCTGTGAGAGTGTCATTATTTAGTTGTTACTAATTTTTACATAATTTGATTATCCTTAAGACATTAATAGATAATATGTGTTGAATAAAAAAATATTAGTTACTGTTTGTGACTATTTATAATTTAAAATATTACTTACTTAGCATTATTATCATAATTATTAAAAAATAATAATAAATCAACAGTCAAACACCAGAATTTGTTATATATTTTAATTTGCCCCAATATATAGTTGTTATGGCTAGTACATAGACAACTTATAACATATCTTCAAACAACTATAAGTAGTTATTTAATTTACTACCCCTACAATTTGATCATTTATTTTCCAACAATTCCGGATCACACCATCCCTTTGTCTGAATCCAAGCATTTTGAATTTATTCAGATTGATTTCTTAGATTCCACATATTACACACACCTTTCCAACTTATCGATTATCTGTTGAAGCACGGATTAATTGCTAATTGTAAGCTTCTGATTAATTTCAAGCTGAGGAAAAAAAAACAGATAAAAATAAAGGCAAAATCAAGAGCAGTAAAAGCCGATCAGATGATACAAACAGAATAATTTAAAGGAAATTTTTAATTTTTCATGAAAATAAAACGGTATACACGGTTGGAACTATTTTAACTCATATTTAAATTAAAATTTACCAGATTAACGGAAAAACTAAGTAAGGGTCATTTTGATAAAGGGTTACTTTCAAGTTCCAAAGAATTGATCGAGAGTAGTAAATTAATGTTCCGTGGCGCTAGTTCCGTGACGATAGCCTCAACATTTTACTATAGAGATAAAAGTAATAAACATTTTCTCTTGATAGGACTTTTAGTTGATTTGCACGAAGCTGGAAACAACTTTCATCAGATATAAAGACATTATTAAAATTATCTTCTCGAAAACGTTGACAAAAATTTATTCTTCATTGCCTTTGCAGAGGTGTCATTGTAGGGATCTTTTTGGATTCCTTGATATGTAGCCGTGCTTTTTCAGTGACATGCGCATAGTTCCTGGGCACACTGATATTCTTGTTTGATTTCCAAATCTGTTCGCTAATTTTCGAAACCATAGGCGCGGATTTTGTCGTCCTAAAGCCACTAAAGCATTTTAATTGTTTCCGCGAATCTTACGCGGTCTACCCGAAACTGGTCTATGTCTCATATCTATGCCATTTTTTATCCTCTTTATTGTCTCATACACTGCACTTTTTCCGAGTTCAGTCAATTGCACTATTTTTTTAACGATTCGGACACCCTTTCTATACAAATATTCCACCACTTTTCTTTTTTCTACTTGCGACATTATTTCACAAATCTTAAGTCTGTGTTACAAACAACAATATTTGACAGATGGTGACTATATATATTTGATAAGTTTAGTTAAATATTAGCTAGTTATAAGTATATGGGATTAAACCAAAAATGATTGTAATGAGAATTACATTCATTTTACATTGTTTTGACGATTCGATTTCCAATCAATACAATCAATTGTGGTTTAATCCCATATAAAATAACATTTAACCTAAACATGCCACAAGAAAACAGTTTTAGAACTTCTTTATAATAAAACCAGTAGTGCACTTCCACACGCTCCTAGGAGGGGCCCCAAATTAATGAAATCTTCACAATAAATTTCAGGGCCACCGAGAAATATCATTCATCAACGTGTTGACGCGAACATACAAGTTACTTCCATAAAATTTGCATTTGTTTTGATTTAAACGTATGTCTTTGTTTTTTGTTACGAAGTTATCCATTCAAGCCTTTAATTAATTCCCAAAATCTGCAACTAAAAACATCTGAACGAAACTAAGTATTTTGAATACTTGATAGATTGGACGTAAGTTATAGCAAAATTAATTTTTTAAATAAAAAACTAAAACTACTGTTCCTACATTGCTGCAGAATATATATATATATAAATATATATATATATATATATATATATATATATATATATATATATATATATATATATATGTTACCGAAACTTATAGTAAGATCTTCCATATCAAGACATCTTTTTCATCACATGCAATTTCATTTCACGTATTTAGGGGAAATATTTAGGAGAAAAGAATCTAAAAAAGAGTTGGTGTATGTTGAACCATCAAAGGATAGGTCCATGAAAACCAAGTTAGCGTAACCTTCTTATTTGAATGTAAAAATTTCGAATTGCTTGTTGAAAAATATGATTTTTAGAATGTGAAGTACATACTGTGTAGCTTTTGTATCATAACTTCCCTAGTTTTTGTTTTGATATTTTTATATCATCTTATATGAGTTGATTTTTATTTATTCTTTGGAAACTAAAAGAATTACATGTTACATTACTAGTAACAATTTAATTATTTTATATAGCTTTCTTAAGATATTTAAAAAAATTTTTGATCCAAATTTATACAAAAAATAGAAAGTTAACGTTTGTATTCTTTTTGTAATTGCAAAAACAAGGAAATTAATTAAATAATTTTTTAGTATATGTTATAAATTTGTTCTATTTGTCGATTTTATTTATAATTAAGTTTCATAGACTACTATTCTACATTTATACTATATACTATATATTGTACTATATACTACAATT